CCCAGTTCATGATCAGCAAAAGCAATGACTTCCACTTCATTCAGAGTCCCTATTTTCTTTGTCTTTAGGTGCATATTTTTGTGCCGTTTGTGCAATAAAGAAGAATTTATCCCGCTGGCTTCAGGGTTTTTGTTTTCTTCTTCAGGTATACAGCTGATTCTTCTATGCCACATTCTAAGCAAACTCTTCTCCTCATTCTTTTGTCCTCCAGATACTTCAGATAAAGGGCTTTGCTTAGATATGAAAAATGGTTTCATTTCTTCCATGCTTTCATTAGCATGTGATTGACTTGGAAAGCCATAGCTGGACAGCACAGTATTGACAATATTTTCTGCAGTTAAACATATTTTGAGTGGAGAAACAGTTGTCTGAATTTTGTTTGGCTCAACAACTGGTTTTAGGGCCTCATAATGAAACATTCTTGGATTTTCATTTTTTCCCATTTCTATGAATGACATAACTTGCTTCAATGATGCTTCTGTGGAGTCATCTGCTTTCTTAAACAGTTTTTGTAGAACACTGCTTTCAGGGAGGGAGATATTTCCTGTCATGGCCTCATCAAAATGGTGAGAGTTAGATTTCCTTGGGCTGTGGTCTTGTAGTTTGTTTAGCGAACACGATGGCATAGTTTCTGAATCAGGCCTTTCCATTGGCTCCAAGCTTTTAATTGTGTCTTCTACAGAGGATCTGACATATGAGGGTAAATTTGATGAAATCCTATACTTTTTTTCCCTATCTTCCTCTGAATAAAACACCAACCCAGGGACACTCATTTGTGGAGGATTATCCCCCAAATTGGCTTCCTCTAACTTTGATGTGGGCATTTTCATATTGGTTGCTAATTGAACGTGATTAACAATGTAGGCATTTTCAGCTCCTTGGAACAAACTTCTCTTTGGAAGGTTTTCCATCAAAGACTCATTGAAATGAGTACACTGGTCCATTAGTGTGCCAATGATCTCACTTGCTACAAAGTTCTCTTTCAAAATGCTAACTGAAGATGGTTCCATTTGGCTCATTTCTTTGTCTAGTTTGTTCTTAATTATACCAAGCATGTCACTGACAATATTAACAGCATATTTAGGTAATTCTGAATGGAACGAATGAACCTGTAGAAGGGTATTCTGTATATTATCCTTGAAAATAATAGTACTTGACTTGGATTCATCAGAAAACTGTTTCAATGGTTGTAATCTTGGCAGCATCTTTTTGCTTAATAGTCTCTGCTGGACAGGGAAAAGGTTTTCTATAGGCATTTTCACTATTTTGGAAAACTCATATTTAGAGATATGTTTAAACTGTAAGTCCACAAATGACTCTAAGGTGTTTAAAACCCTTTCTATGATCTCTTGAACAATCTGGTTGCTAGAGCCCACAGAAAATTTGTCTTTTGTCTTTGTATTATAGAATGGTAAACTGCTGAAGATTTGCTTGTTTGGAAAACCACATTTACTTTTAGCAGTAATATGTTCTTTACTGTTTGCTAGAGTTTCTTTATAATCTGGAGTGGGCATCTGGGACAAAAAACACAGCTGTAATTTTTCAAATAGCATTTCAACAATTTCCCTTCCAAACATATTAATTTGTCCTTTGGTATTCTTAGCTTTAGTAAAAGCTCCTTTAAAATGATTATAAAATCTGCTTTCACAATTCTCAAGAGGTGGCAAATCTAAAAGTGAAAGAGAATATTCTAATTCTTTTGCTTTTATTGAAATTTCGGTCAAAACATTTTCAGCAATCATCAATAGCTTACATTTTTCATTTTCCATGTCATTTGATTCTGTCTGCCATTTGTCAAACATTTTTTTAAA